GTCGAGGTTCGGCGGAGAGAATTCAACGGAGCGGTGTAAAAACATTCTCTTCGTAGAGAATCAAGAGGAAAATAAACAGAGAAATTAGTTGCTCCGCCAAATTGGCGCGATCCGTTCCATGTACGTATACTCAATTTAATAAGCGTGACGTCACTTTTACAAACGATTGTATTGGCAGGATAATTTAAGATACCCTCGTATCTATTACTCCATGTATATATAGGACGATTCGTCGTTCGTGCATTTACGTCATCGCGTTGTGCGTCTGCGGAATACTCGACGACGATGAATCGGTGGTCTTGGAACAACTTTGCGTTATATTTTCGCTAAAGTAAATATAAGCGTTCGCATTCTTATTAATTTCCCGCAAATATGTATATTTCGCGTGTTATTAAATTTGTCAAACGAATGGGATAATCTCGAAAGAATTTTGCTATTAGACTTGTATTTACTTTCGCTTAGATTATAAAGAAAGATTGCAACCAGAGAGAATTTACCTTGAAAGTCATGGTAATCGTGGAACAATATGGTAATGGAAGAATTTTTATAAGAGTCTCTCTCATTTACATTTATCACAATATATGTTCGATTAATTTTATTAAAACGTACAGTAAATATTAATCTGTTAGTGCCATATCTATATTATTGTCCCACGATTAGCATGATTTTCGGGGTAAATTCCAAGAGAAAATTCTCTCCGTGCACACAAACGAAGAAAAATGGTTAAATAATCAAATAATGAATCTTATCTGGATCTATCGAGGCATTGGTCGATCGTGGTCATCATACCATCGTATTTCTCGGTGGCGGTCTCCACCAATCCATAGACCATTATCGTGATCGAAACTAAGGAAGCGCATGGACCATGAACCGTTGCTAGTCCGTGCGAGATTGAAGTCTTGAACCCGCTCCGAGCGACATTCCAGAGAGTGAATCGACTACCGGCTTGACTATATACGCTCTTCGATGAGCATGAATAAGCACCTCTGTGTGCATGTCAGCGATATAGCACGCGATCATATCCGTATACGGAATTCTCACGTCTATTATGCGGCGCATGAACTATTATTTAACCGCAAACCAGACCAAACGTGTTTTTGCAGACTACCGCTCTTAGGCATATTGCTCACGAGAGAAGGAGGCTTCTTCACTTCGTATAAGAATGATTCATTCGCGAGTATCGATGGCCTATTTGACGGAGAAGCCAAAACGCTTTGACGCGCGCAAACCGAAGGTTGAGGATTAAAATTGTTGACTGTGAGTTATATAAATATTACTTTGAGAATATATATCTTCCAATTGCATGTACACGTTATGTAAATATTACTCGAAAATTTTTTCCACTCCAATAATAAAAACACGACAATAAAATCTGTATGTCGTGTTTCGCGGAATGATGAAAACAAAAATAGCGATTGAAAGCTCCGCGACTATAGACCCTCGAAATGTCATCAAACGTGTGAATTGTCAAACGTGTGAATTATCACACGTGTTAAGACATGGTCATTCATACGAGGGCGTGCACCTTGGGTCGCCGCCGCTCTTTATGTGTCGCTTCAGCAGACCTGTGCGTAGGCGACACATACACAAACAAACTTCCAGGAATCAACCGGTGGAGAGAGAAAAAGGGAATATAAAACCAGCGCGATAACCTCTCCTGGGTGCATGCTCTAAAACATGCGGCGAGCCATTCCTCCTCTCCTTGGGTCGATTTATATTCTCGTTCCTAACAAGTGTCAGGAATGTGCGTTCTTGTAAGAAGCATCGTTACACTTGGCGCGATTAGTGGCGCTATCACACACCGTAACTATATTGTTCTACGCGTTCTTCTGCGGGAGAAACTCCGTCGCGCGCATTACGTAAAGATCGGTGGGATTGCCGTTTAAGTAGCGGAATTTTAATCACTGGCGAGAACCAGTTCCCTCGCGTTAAACGATCGATGAATATATCGTTGGAAATTCTCCGAATAAATTAACGTGAAAATGGATCGAAACGATTTGTGCGGTAGAGAGAAAGAGCGCGAGTCAAGTCGTCTGTAGAAAAAGTCTCTCCCCTTTTTTTCCACTACCTCCAAGTTGGCTTAATGACGGCTTAAATGAAAATTGATGGCTAGGAGACATTAACCCCGAGAAATATTAGATTGAAACTTTACATTAGTTTTATTAATTCTAACAAAAGTTCGAATGACTTCTTTGTGAAATTTGTCACCCATCTGTTGCTAACGGATTTTTGGATCATTTATTTCTTTGGAATGCTCGCTCGCCTCGTGACATAATATTTTTTAGGATTAATCTACTAGAACCATAAACTTTCATTTAAGCCATCATTTAGCTTAGTTAGAGGTGGTGGGAAAAAAGGTAAGGAATTTGGCCCGCGCACTCTTTACGAGGATGATCACCCTCGTCAATCATTTCAACGCGCGAGTGCAAAAAATCTCGTAATAAAAACCCGTAAAAACCATACACATTTGTGCTCTCTTCATCTCGGACTTTCGCCGTGTTTTCACAATGCCGAAGAGTTATCGAAGAATTATCACTTTTCTCGAAAGGTCAGTTGTTCACATTTAAACGGGATCATAAACAAATTTACAAATTTCCTTTTACCCTCACACCTTTTTCCGCCGCTCAATTACCGGCCAATTAATATTGGAGTTTAAGTAGAGAAACTGTTGCATTACTGCAATGTGAATGTGCATTTTGCATGTTTTATTTATCTACGGATGTCGATTCTCTTTGCATTCTCGCGTGCGTGTTACACGATGCACGTCCGCGTTGTTAATTTTGTTACACGAATGTGACACGAAAAGTCAATATTATCAAAAGCCCCTTTTTTTGGATACACTGTGCGTTGCGACACGCACATAGAGTTTACGTATTGGTGAATGTAATCTCTTCGTCTTTTAAAATACCGAATGGACTCTATTGTAAATAGTTACGTGCACTTTGAAAAATATGTAAATATTAAATATTGAAGTTTGACACAAGTAAGCAAGCTACAATAGGCTTTTTTTCCTTTTCAATAAAAGATTGTAACGGAATTGTTTCCTTCCCAATCCCAGTCGTCGGAATGGAAAAATATCCAACGGATGTGCGGATACTTCTTGAAGTAAATATGCGCATTACAATCGCAAATATTTCCAAGTGAAGAAGAGTTTCGGTCTGACCTGTTTCTCTGAACGCAACATATTATATTACACGATCGCAACAATACACACCTTCGCATTCTCCTTCCCTCTTTTCAAGAGACTTATGAAGCCTTACGAGGATGTAATATAAAAGATTGACCAATAAGAGCGGCGATTCACTGTTGATTCGAATTTCAAATGCGCATTTTAATTCCCACTTGGCGCGAATCATTCATACATATCGATTTATGTACTTTACAAACGCAGTCTCTTCTTCAACGCGTTTATTCAACGACAAAAGTGAATTTATTAGTTTTTTAAATTTCAATGAAAAGAGATGCGGATAATAGTGCGTCAATTAAAAAAAAAAGGAAGAAAAAGAAAATTTATCGGAGTGACAATAATAATATTTAAGGATATGCGTGGACACACACAGTGTGTCTGTATGCAGAGAGCACGAGAGAAAGGACAGAAATTTAATCTTTTGGCCAGAGTTTTATGGCCCTTCTTTAGAAACCACGAGATTCCAGATGATATACAGACAGTCCAAGCGAAGCCGCCAACGAAGGGACTTTGGGTTCCCAAAAGTTATATACTGCGTATTAATATTATATACACTCAAAGCATATAAAATATAAGTTTTCTCATCTATGCTTCCTCCGAAGAGTTTTAAATAAAAATAAAATGTCGAATTAAAATATTTAATTACTCTTGGTATCTCTCGCGTCAAAGAAAATTTCTACTTTGTGCACAATTAATTAATTTCAATGGAAAATAATTTTCCTGGAAAATAACGCACTATTACCCGCATCTGGCTCCTCTCTACACCCGGTTGAAATTGAAATATGTATCTCGCGTTAAGAGTTTTGGTAAAGTTATCGAGCTACTCGAAGAAGATGTAAATTATCAAGCAGTAATAAGGTAATCTTTGGATTAAACTCACCTTTGCGGGGAGCAACGGCGGTGTCCTGACTCTGTGCCGCTGCCAGATCGGGAGATAACGCGAGAAAAAGCAGAAAAACGATCCGGAGGAGCCTCCGCCAGTCCGTGGACTCGCCTCTGAATTTGGCGGCAAAGTGGTTCCATCGCACGACGCTCGAAGCACATCTCGGGAGTCTGTCGCAGCTCAGTGTTCTGTCGCGCTTTTCAACAACTCTTGCTCTCGAGTTCGCACTCTCGTCGCGTTTTCGCCAATCGCGCTGGCCAAAGTGCTCCTCTGTCCGTATCGCGTCCACCATCGCGGAGCAGCCGTTCGTTCGGCCGCGAAGACGCTCGCAAAGATCGCATCCCGTCGTCGACGTCGACCCCGACGACCGCTGGGTGGTCGACGATGCACCGTTCGACGCATCCTCGAATACGCCGCAAGTAGACAATGACGACGGGCAATGGCAGTGGCAGCGGGTGACGAGACGTGCTTCCGAAGAAGAAGAAGAAGAAGAGAAGGAGGAGGATGTGTACGCGGTCGAGGTGCACGATTCGTCGAATGCCCCGCCGCGGATTCTGCGACACGCGGCCGGAGACTTCATCTTCCGGAAGAACGCGAAATCTCGGATCTCTGTCTCCCGGTCGGAGAAGAAAAGTCAAGTATCAACGCGCTTTCGTCGCTCGCGAATTCTCTCTCAGATCGTAGGGATGAGAAGAGCGTCGCGGCTCGGTTTCGCTCGCATCTCTCTTCTCACCGTCGTTTCGTTATGTACGTACGAACGGAGAACTCGAGCGTTAATGCGGCGACAAACTCGACGACGACCGCTCGAAGACGTCCCGCATCTTTTCTCGACGTTGCCCGAGGCGTGTTTGTCGGCGTCGGGCCTCGTTGACCCTACGTAACCGCGCACTCGGGAGAGACTCTGTGGGCGTGTCGCACGAAACAAGCCGGACAGAGAAAGACGCACGGTTGCACTCGCGCGCGCGCTCGCGCGCGCGAGTTATCAGTCGACTGTGCTGAAAGATCGGCACCGCCGGCAGGTCACCGCACTAAACGATCCCATTGAGAGTTACGCGCAGCCGTTGCGCGCCGACGCTCGAGATTCGCAGCCTGACCCAATCGCGATCAGTGCACGTTCTACCCGTAATATCGATGATTATCTCGCTTCCTCGCCGGTATCTGCCCGGTCTGTCCTTCTGCAACGAAAAGAGCGCGATTTATATTAGACATTTTCTATATTTTTTTTTTCACACATTATCTACATATCTATAAATTTATCTATAAATTCAATCCAGCCGACAATTTGCTCGACGTTGATTTCCAACTGAAAATTTATCGCCGATAAGTCTACTCGAACGTAATAATTAGAGGAGAAAGATGAGACACTATACCTTGCACGTTGCAGAAGCATTAATTTTCAGGCTCGTTATATAAGATAACGCGCTCGCTCTATAAGTACACCGAAGGAAAATGTACGCGATATAAACCTTGACTATCGCACCGTGGAAATTATGATGGTATTTTCACGAATGACGTTTTATATACGTAGCCATCAATTAAATGATTATTTATAATGCATTCAAGCGGTACCAAGTGTCGCACATTTATAAAGTATGACTTGCAGATAAATTATCTTGACCATTACGTATATATATATATATATATATATATATATATATACCGTGTACGTGTGTGTATTTACATTCTCTAAACGGTATTACATGCAAGAATATATATATATATATATAATATATATATATGTATTTTATAATTACACACATTCGGGAGAGGTTGTTAAACACTAATTACATAGCATAAAATAAAACAAATGCAAATGTTACCGAAAATATAAAATCACTGATGCGCGACGACGTCACATTTCACAAGATGGGCTCTATATCTTATCGACCTGTAATTCGCTAACTATGCGATAACATATTTGCATGATAATATACGTTTCAACTCACAAATAGCCAAGAGATTTTTTTTTTAATTTTGCGGAGTATTACGTACCGATAAAAATATATCGAAAGCTTTATTTATTCAAACGATTAAAACATTCGGCATCGGTTTTTATAATTTAAACACGAGGCCATATAAATTCATTTTTAAAAATCGCGCACTTGTCTCTGATTTATACATATAAAATTGCGATAAAAATACAGGAAGAAAAAAAAAAAAACGCCGGATGATATTTTCTACGCAAATTGAATTTAACTGATAATTGAATAAATATATTCAATGAGTTGTACGTCAGCTTGATTGGATTCGCCGACGATATCGCTTCGTGAAGAAAACATTTGCCGAACAACGAACATCGATGTTTGTCCCGAGGGTTTTTACAGGATTATTAATCAAGTTTATTTACTCACGGGTTTCATTATTATTATTATTATTATTATTATTTTGAACGATAAAATATACATCGAGAGTGAAGATCATGTACTATAATAGCCTGTACTCTTATCTCTCAGCCACCAATTTTATGCTCAGCGAGCGTATTTTTTTTTCTTTGCATTTTTTCTCTTTTTTAAAGAAAATTATGCAAAGTGCACCGTTTAGCATGCATCTTACATACTAGTTACGCGAGTGACGTTTTTCGTGGGTACCATATGCACTCATCTTTATGCGCATTTTTCGCGAACCACCGCTCTATACATTTTTATATAACTCTTATCCGGGGTCATGACGCTCCGTGACAATATCTTTGGAGAATATTTTTAACGTTGTAACGTATCGTGTGATAACGTGCGCGCGATTTTTACAAATTATTGGAATATGCCTTGGGTGATCTCGGAATGCAACTCGCTCGCGGTATAGTAAAGCTGTATCGACAATGTTATAAATTGTATATAAAACTGTCCGCTACAGAGAGATGTCTGGATGTGTTCTGCGCTCGTGAGAAAACCGTGTTCTCCCCGCGTTGCCGCAAACCTTTCACAGAAAGGTAAACCCGTTAAGAGCGAGCCAACCAACCAGTTGTGTGTGTGCATATAGTATACATACGTGTATGTGTGTCCACAGGCAATATTCGCATCGTTTGCGATCCCGGAGAGCTAAACGTTGTTTTTCATTATGCGAAAAGCTAGGTATACACTAGGTGTACCTGCCAGGAACAAACTATATGATAGGGGAAAAAAGAAAGGGAGAAGAAGTCAGAAAACATGCGATATCCTGTTGCATGGTGATATTATCTCTTTTGAAAACGATTTAAAATTATAAAAATATATGCATATACCTACAATATGTAACAAATGTAAAATAAAATTGAAATACACTTTATTTATAATTAAATCTCCCTTATAATTATATCTTTATACTAATCTTGAAAATTAAAATTTATAATTATTCTATATTATATAGGTACATATATCTTATTGTGCACCTGCAGGATAAGTCCCATTAAAAATATATTATTACTCATAAAATATGTATTTTTTCGAAAAATTTCTCAAACAAAAGTTATATAGCGATAAAATTAATGAAGTCGCCAGAGGAAAAGTTATATAGATTTTGATGAAAATATCCTGTGATTAACATGTGTTTTGACATAAATTTTATATTCTCATTCCCTTCGCGTGTAATAATAAAATACAGTCAAAATTAATACGAAACAATGATAGTTTATTTTAACATGTATATTGTGATGTAAAATATAATATTCATGTTTTTGATGATTTTACCTTTTAAGGCCTTTAAAGGCAGCACGATGAAAAGAAATTTATGTAAAAAAAGTCGATTAATAATGTAAAAAAAAAAAAAAAAAAAAAAAAATATATATATCGTTCTACGTAAAAAAATTTACAATTTTAATAAACGCCCGCATTTGAAAGTAAACTGCATTAAGGATGTCTCTTTGAAAGAGGAAAAAAGCAATTGTTTGGTAACTCTGCACGTTTTATCCAAGTAAGAATACTCTCGGTCTCTCTTAATAAACGTGATGCTGGAAATATACGCGAAGAATCGTAATTCGCATCGTCGACGGGAGTAAGGTTTGCCGCGCGGTCCCACGGGCGTTTAAGTGGCTGCGTAAGAAAAAAAAATTTGGAACGTCGTGCCCGATCGTAAAAATGTCGCCGTCTGTTCTGGCTCTCATCGTGACTCTCGGGGTTAAGTAACATGATTTGATTAAGCGTAGATTTCTCTAATAATAAACGGTAATTGATTTATTGCGTTATAAAGGGGGTCAACGCTGTCACGCTACGTAACGAGACGTGTACGCCGTGGCATGCGAGAGATTGTATGTACCTCTACGTTCTTCGCGATCTGACGCGACAGTCAGACAATGAGTCGTCAAACGGCCGAACGCGTCTTCCAACGATTTCGCTCAATTCGGTTTCGGGGTCAGATAGCCGTTTTCGGGTCCTCGTACTTTGCATCTTGCGCGCGAATAAACCTTGCGGAGATATTACTTTACGTATACATATATTGAGAAAAAAAGATATAACACTTATCACGACTTAGTGTAATAAGTTGGCAAATATATCAGCTATTAAACTAGTATATAACAGCTAAATGATGCGAGGAAATAGTGGCAACTAAAAGTTATGCAACAACAATTATAGATTAATTTGATTGGGTAAATAAAGTACTTTTAACTCGAAGAATTAAAATAATTGACTCAACTCTAAATAAGATAAGTATTATCAGGTATTTGTTAACTACTATTTAAAAAGACTGTTTGCTCTCTAAATTTGAACACGTTTCTAAATTGCTTCACCGACAATAAGAAAAATTGATAATTGTTAAAATATGCGACTAAACTAACATAAATGATTTAGTAATCGAATATCTGATAACAATAAACCGAATGATTGATCAATACTTATCAAATATTTGCTAATAGATATAAAACATTTAATTATTGTTATTAACCTATTTAGTTGACGTAACACTATATATAAACAAGTTTTGTTTGTAGTTAAGCCACGTAAATATTTCGTAACTATTATCAAATATTTAAAATTAAAATTTGTAACTTGATGCATTTTTAATAACGGTTATCAATTAGTTTTTTTTCAATGTAGATCGAATCTCACTATGTATATTTATGATTAAACATTTTCAATCGTATATAATTTACTTATTTAAATATATGTACATACATACATCAGCCAGTATAATATCATTATCTCTTGGAACCTTTCACTATTATATAAATAACATTTTAATCTTATCAATCTCGTAGAGATATTACAGAATCCTCAGCAAGATTGCGGCGATATTGGAATATAATGCTTATATGAAAATAATGACATTATAATGCTCAAGATTGCAATGTTGTTGCGCGCGATATATAGTTGAAAGATGAAAATGTTACGTAGATGTTCAACTATGTGTACAATCACGCGCAAAAACAGCTGGTCACGCAAGATCCACCTACGCTGTCTTATTCATAGTTTTATTTCATAGTAAGCGAAGACACACACACGGGACCTCGAAAATGCGTGCGACACCGATGATTTCAGGCGCGGACAGGAAAAATGTCAAATTACAGTTTCAAATAGCACCGAAAATTGCATCATCCGATATACTTGGCGTACTAAAAGGTACCGTATGCGTGTCTCCGTGATAGAATTATTGCGGCTCGAAATACACATCGCGGCTTCCGCATCTTGTGCAACTTTGCTTTATCCCCTTCTTCAACGTCCCCCTTTTCACGTGCGCGTTTCAATGATGCGCGCAAAATGTCAAATGTAATTTGATCATGTGCGACAAATCGGCAATTTGATCCGTCTTTTTCATTACGGCACTTATCGGCGGAATCGCATCAAGTCCGGGATAATAGTCCTCATTCTCGAATAGATCGCTAAAGTACTGGACGATAAAGCGGGGGGCTAATATCCGTGGTCGAATCGATCCGGCACGCGGCTGAAAATAATTGTGTTTCGGAAACGGACAGCGTGCGAAATCGTTTTACTCGGTGATCAGCTCCGTCACGTCAAAACACAGGACGAGGATCGAGCGCGTTTACAGCTACACGTTACGCACACATCTTTCGCGTGTATGCGTATATGAGCGATGAGAGTGACCACACACGTGTGTACATAAAGCCGGGTTCAGACCAGATTAACGAGTACAATCGCGAGTAAGTACTCGGGAAATAGCGCAATACTTGCCTAATTATAAGAGCTTCGCGAAACACATTACTTCGCGCGCAAACTTTTCCATTCAAAAATATAGTACAAAAAAAATT